GCATGCTGGGAGAGCTGCGGCGGCCTGGAGCTCGACCCCGTGCTCGGCAGTGGAGCGGTCGTCCTGATGGACTCGGAGTGGATGGTGAGGCGAGCGCGCACTGGCGGCGTCCTCGAGCCGCGCCAGGCGTTGCCGCCGACGGCCTTCATGCCCCACAGCGCCGTCAAGGCCGCCACGCCCTTGGTGCCCTTGCTGCGCATCGCGTGCATATCACACGGCTGGCTGCAGGCTGGCATTGGGGAGCCTGGGGAGCTTCTACTCCCACCCCGCCACTGTCGTCTTCATGCTGACGCGGTTTCCAGATGATTACGGCGATGCTGCAAGGTACACCCAGTCGGGCAACACGGAGCAGTACTTCAACCGTGGCTGGTGCTTCTGCGAGTCCTCCTGGGCGATTCTGACGAAGCCGTCTAGCTTCGTCTTGGGCCACGTCTCCTCTTCCTCCTCCTCCTCCTCCTCCTCCTCCTCATCCTCATCCTCATCCTCCTCCTCCTCCCCTGCCTCCTCCTCCTCCTCCTCCTCCTCCTCCTCCTCCCCTGCCTCCTCGTCCTCCTCCGGGCTCGTTTTTGTTCTCCCCCCGCCTCCCGTGTTTTGTTCTGCCCCCCCACCAGACGTTGCTCGGGGTGGTCTCTTTATTTTTGCCCCTCGGAGTTTTTTCCTTCCCCTCGCTGGGGGGGTGGGGTCCAGGGTGTCCCCCCCGCCCTCCTCTCGGGGTCTCCTTCTGTGCCCTCGGAGTCTTAGTTCTTTCCCTTGGGGTCGCTTGCTTTCCCCATCGTGTCTTCGTTCCCCCCCATCGCGTATTTTTCTGTTCCCTCCTGCTCCTCTTTCCTCCCCTCCTTCCTTGTCTTTGCTCCCCTCCCCGCGCCCTCTTGGGCCGTCTCGGAGCCGAGCTCTTGGGCCGTCTTGGGGCCCGTGGGCCGAGGGATTCTAAAGAATACGAGGAAGCAGGCCATGGGAGCCGCCCGGGGGCCGCTTCACTCGAACAGAAACGATGGAAAACGGTCCAGCAGACCGATTTGCCCGGTCCTGCCCCCTCCGCCGGACCCCCTCTCCAAAATGGCTTCGCCCCCTACGAGATGTCTCTCGCTCCGCTCTTTCCGTCACCTGGGCTGGACACTGTGCAGCCCAAAGAAGCTAGTCTGCTGAACACGTACGTTTTTCGGAGGGAATGGGGCGATGTTTTGCCTCCTGGGGGCTCCCTTGGGGGCCTCCTGCGGCGTCTTGGGAGTCTCTTGGGCCGTCTCAACGCCATGATTATTAGGCCCTCTTGGAGCGTTCATGGGCCGTGCTCGGGCCCTCGTGGACCTGTCCGATGCCGTCTTGGAGGTAGAGGCGCTCTCAGGGCTGACTTGGGCCGCCTTGGGCCGAAAATCGTCAAAATGAGGGCCATCAGACCTGGGGCCGGCACGGAAACGGAAAGGGCGCTGCAGCAGCTTGACCGAAATTACGCACACCACCGTTCGTACTGGGAGCCTTGGACTGGGCGCATGAGCTGGGCGGGAAGCCTGTGAAGGCTTCCCCAGACGTTTCACGTCGTCGTGCGTATGGGGGCGGGGACCTTGGTGTCAAAGCTGTGTCCGTCACTGGGCCGTGTGTGGGCCTCAGGCCGTTCGCTGTTGGGAGCCTCGGTGTGAACAACTTTTTGCGTTACCGAACGCTCTTTTACTTGGCGTCTCTGGGCCTTCTTGGGGGTCCTTGTGGAGCCCTTTTGGGACCCTTTTGGACTATCTTGGGGCCCTCTTGGGCCGTCTTGGGGCCCTGTTGGGCCGTCTTGGGGCCTCTTGGAGGCCTTTGGCCGTCTTGGGGCTCTCTTGGGGGCCTCTTGGGGCCCTCTTGGGAGCCTCTTCGGGCTCGTTTGGGGCCCTCTGGGGCCGTCTTGGGGCCCTCTTGGGGTCTGGGGCCGTCTTGGGGCCCTCCTAGACCGTTTTCGGGCCCTTTTGGGGGCCTCTTGGGCCGTCGTGGGACGATCTTTGGAGCCTCTTGGGCCGTTTTGGCCCGTTCTTGGCCCGAAAAGGCTGCAACCCGAAAAATGTTCAAAAACCATTGGAAAATCAATGATTTGTGCCTCTCGGGGCCCTCTTCGGAAGCCTCTTGGGAGCCTCTTGGGCCGTCTTGGAGCCATCTTAAAGCGTCTTGGGGCCCTCTCAGACCATCTTGGACCCAACTTTCGCCGTTTCGAAGCGCTCTTGGGACCGTCTCGGAGCCGTCTCGCACCCCTCTTGGGCTGTCTTGGGCGACTCTTGGGCCGTCTTGGGCGCCTCTGGGGCCGCCGTGGGGAGGCGGGCGGCCATTACCAACCATTCCCGCACGCTTCCCCCCTCCCCTGGAGCCCCTCCCTCTAGGGCTTCGCCCCTGCTCAACGTCATCGCTCGTACCTCGCTCTTTCCGTTACCTGGCCCGGCACAGAAACGGAAAGAGCGTTGCAGCAACAGGTGCCGAAATTATTCACACCACCGTTCGTACCGGGAGCCTTGGCGTTGAGAGCTTGTTACGTCACCCCTCGCTCTTGGGAGCCTTGGTGTTCAGAGATTGTTGCGTTGCCGCCCGTTCCTGAGCCTGGGCTGGGCCTTGGTGTCATGAACTTGGTACGTCACCGCTCTCTGCTGGGAGCCTTGGTCTTATCAGCTTGTTTACGTCACCGCTCGCTCTTGGGAGCCTTGGTGTGAAGAGCTTTTTGCGTTACCGATCGCTCTTGGCGTCTCTGGGCCTTTGTGGGAGTCCTATTGGGCCCTTTTCAGGCCCTCCTGGGGGCCTCTCGGGGGCCTCCTGGAGGCCCCTTGGGGCTTCTTGGGGGTCTGTGGGGGCCTCCTGGGAGCGTCTCGGGGCGAAAGGCTAGACTTTCGGGTTCGTTGTCCCCCTCTTGGGGCCGTCTTGGGGCCCTCTTGGGCCGTCTTGGGCGCCTCTTGGGCCGTTTTGGCGCCTTCTTGGGCCGTTCTGGGGGCCTCTTGGGAGCCTCTTGGGCCGTCTTGGGGCGGTCTTGGGGGCCTCTTGGACCGTATTCAACGCCGTGAAAGCCGAAAAGCCGTGTATGCTAAAACTGCACGCTTTCCCATAGAAAATCTATGATTTTGGCCTCCTGATGGCCTCGTGGGACGCGTTCTGGGGGCCTCTTGGGGCTTCTTGGGGAGCTGTGGGGGCCTCCCCGGAGCGTCTTGGGGCGATAGGCTAGACTTGTCGGTTCGTGGTCCCCCTCTTGGGGCCGTCTTGGGGCCCTCTTGGGCCGTCTTGGGCGTCTCTTGGGCCGTCTGGGGGCCCTCTTGGGCCGTTTTGGGGGCCTCTTGGGAGCCTCTTGGGCCGTCCTGGGGCGGTCTTGGGGGCCTCCTGGGCCGTCGTCAACGATGTGAAAGGCGAAAAGCCGTATATGCTAAACATGTACGTTTTCCTTTTTGGAAAATCAATGATTTGGGCCTCTTGGGGCCCTCTTGGGACGCCCCTTGGAAGCCTCTTGGGGGCCTCTTGGGACGTCTTGGGCCTGTCTTGGGCGGTCTTGGGCTCTTCTGGGACGGAAAATAAGTGAAATCCGAAAAACACACACAAAAAAACCCTAGAGAAAAACCCCCAAACGGCCATTAACGCCAATGTCCCCGGGCCTCGCCCCTCCCCTGGACCCCTCTAGGGCTTCGCCCCTGCTCAACGTCATCGCTCGTACCTCGCTCTTTCCGTTACCTGGCCCGGCACAGAAACGGAAAGAGCGTTGCAGCAACAGGTGCCGAAATTACTCACACCACCGTTCGTACCGGGAGCCTTGGCGTTGAGAGCTTGTTACGTCACACCCTCGCTCTTGGGAGCCTTGGTGTTCAGAGATTGTTGCGTTGCCGCCCGTTCCTGAGCCTTGGCTGGGCCTTGGTGTCAGGAACTTGGTACGTCACCGCTCTCTGCTGGGAGCCTTGGTCTTATCAGCTTGTGCATGCGTCACCGTCCGCTCTTGGGAGCCTTGGTGTGAAGAGCTTTTTGCGTTACCGATCGCTCTTGGCGTCTCTGGGCCTTCGTGGGAGTCCTATTGGGGCCCTTTCGGGCCCTCCCAGGGGCCTCTTGGGGGCCTCCTGGAGGCCTCTTGGGGCTTCTTGGGGGTCTGTGGGGGCCTCCTGGGAGCGTCTCGGGGCGAAAGGCTAGACTTTCGCGTTCGTGGTCCCCCTCTTGGGGCTGTCTTGGGCGCCTCTTGGGCCGTCTGGGGGCCTTCTTGGGCCGTTCTGGGGGCCTCTTGGGAGCCTCTTGGGCCGTTTTGGGTCGGTCTTGGGGGCCTCTTGGGCCGTCGTCAACGCCGTGAAAGCCGAAAAGCCGTGCATGCTCAAAATATGCGTTTTCCTATAGAAAATCTATGATTTTCGCCTCCTGATGGCCTCGTGGAACGCGTCCTGTGGGCCTCTTGAAGCTTCTTGGGGGGCTGTGGGGGCCTCCCCGGAGCGTCTTGGGGCGATAGGCTAGACTTGTCGGTTCGTGGTCCCCCTCTTGGGGCCGTCTTGGGGCCCTCTTGGGCCGTCTTGGGCGCCTCTTGGGCCGTCTGGGGGCCCTCTTGGGCCGTTTTGGGGGCCTCTTGGGAGCCTCTTGGGCCGTCTTGGGGCGGTCTTGGGGGCCTCCTGGGCCGTCGTCAACGATGTGAAAGGCGAAAAGCCGTACATGCTAAACATGTACGTTTTCCTTTCTGGAAAATCAATGATTTGGGCCTCTTGGGACGCCCCTTGGGCGCCTCTTGGGGCCTCTTCGGGGCCTCTTGGGACGTCTTGGGCCTGTCTTGGGCGGTCTTGGGCTCTTCTGGGACGGAAGAGAAGAGAAATCCGAAAAACATGTAAAACATTGGTAAAACCCCAAAGCGGCCATTAACGCCAATGTCCCCGGGCCTCGCCCCTCCCCTGGAACCCCTCCCTCTAGGGCTTCGCCCCCTGCTCAACGTCATCGCTCGTACCTCGCTCGTACCTCGCTCTTTCCGTTACCTGGGCCGGGACGGAAACGGAAAGAGCGCTTCAACAACGTGACCGAAATTATTCACACCACCGTTCGTACTGGCTTGTTACGTCACCCCTCGCTTTGGGGAGCCTTGGTGTTAAGAGATTGTTGCGTTGCCGCCCGTTCCTGAGCCTTGGCTGGGCCTTGGTGTCAGGAACTTGTTACGCCATCGCTCCCTGCTGGGAGCCTTGGTCTTATCAGCTTGTTTACGTCACCGCTCGCTCTTGGGAGCCTTGGTGTGAAGAGCTTTTTGCGTTACTGATCGCTCTTCATTTGGCTTCTGTGAGCTTTCTTGGGAGTCCTATTGCGGCCCTTTTTGAGACCCTTTGGGGGCCTCTTGGGGGCCTCTTGGGGCTTCTTGGGGGTCTGTGGGGGCCTTCTGGGAGCGTCTTGGGGCGAAAGGCTAGACTTTCGGGTTCGTTGTCCCCCTCTTGGGGCCGTCTTGGGGCCCTCTTGGGCCGTCTTGGGCGTCTCTTGGGCCGTCTTGGCGCCCTCTTGGGCCGTTTTGGGGGCCTCTTGGGGGCCGTCTTGGGGCGGT